TTAAATTACAGTATAACCAGACACAACTAATTTATTTATATTATTTAAACACTAATTTGCATTAATAGATGGGTGTGGCATTTTGAATCCATGCAGTTTGAGGACAGTATCCAAAATTTCCGCCAAATAGGACTTCTCCTTTAATTTTTTTCATTTCACCAACCAGAGCAGACAATAATGAAGATTTACTAGACCCTACAGAACCAATAATAGCAACCAATGTTCCACGAGGTATTGTAACGTTAATGTTACGAAGTTGAGATTTTATAGAAAATTGCTGAGAATTTTCAAGATTTTTAGTCAAATCTGTGGGAGTCAAAGCTGTGGAGGTGTCAAAGGTGCCATCAATTGAAGTTGAACCATTTTCATTCGAAAGAATAGTTGAAGAATCATTTCCATTCTTATCATTTTTTTTATGATTTTTTGATGTTTTTTCTTTTTTCTTGATTTTTTTTGATTTGTCATTAATTTCTTCAGGTGGGGCACTTTCCCAAATAAATTCACCATCAGTAACTTTAATAGCATATTGTTCGTCCGGATTGATTTCCGGTAAAACTGATAATTCATCAGCTTGCAAGAATTCATTTATACGATTAATTGCTACATAGGCATCAGTAGCAGAAGCTATAGCCACTGGCATGTATATTAAAGGCGTTCGAAGAACGTTGAATAATGCCAAAGACGAGAATACGACTCCAGGATCAAGTTTGCCTCCTGTCAATGAGAATGTTATAAATGATAAGATACTAGCGAATACAGGAACAATCTAAAAAGAGTCAATTACAAATAAAAAAGATAAAACGAAAAAAAATAAATCAAAGGTATTATTAAATATTTAAATATAAAATAATTATAAAATAATTACCATTGAAACACTAGTAATAGAATTTCTAATAATTAATAAAAACCGAACCAAACTAATTTCTTTGTTTCTTAATTTATTAAGAGCACCAATAAAACTATCTTCCCAGGCGTAATATTTAATAACTCTAATCCCTAACAAAATCTCCCGAGTTAATTTGATCCGTTCATCAGCAACACTAGCAATTCTAGCCCTGGTACGTGCCAATAATGACATGACCATTCCCTGCATGGGGCCCAATAATACTAATAATGCAAATCCAGCTAATGCAGATGGACCAATATTAAATATTAACAAACCCAATGCCATACAACATTGAATAGGAGCAGTCCAAATTATGTTGAAGTAAGCGCATGCATAATCTATACGCGAAGTATCAGTGGACATTAGATTAATAATTTTTCCATTAGAAAATAAGTTTCTCGCTTTTCCACTTAAGACTAAAACTTTCCGGTGGATAGTAGTTATGAGAATAGTACGTGAGAGAAATCCAATTTCCATTGCACAACAATAATAAAAGTTTGCTGAAAGGCTATCACACAATTGCATTAAGAGCAAGACAACGCTTAATAAGTAGCCAATATATGCAGGGGGTTGCACACCGTTATCAAAGTTGGCAAAGTATGCATCAGTGACAAAGTTTAATATTAACTAAAGAATCAAGAATATTAAGAGAATTTTATCATATTGAGACGCATCATAACTAATCACGTGTAAATACAAGTGTAATGTACCTTTAAAATCAAAGGTGATGTAACTCTGAATGTATCAGTAAACAATCTACAAACAGCAGCCAAGTAAAATTTAGCCCACAAAACCCTGTATAGAGCTTTTAATAAAGATGGATTTTGTCCCATCGCAATTTTTCGAGTTTCTTTTTTCCATTCAGCTTCAAACTTATCAGTAACAATTTTAGCCAATCTCGCGTCATTCAAAACGTATAGATCATCTTTTTCCAAAGGACGTTTATAACCTAAGCTCATTAAATCGTTGGCCCACCACATAATAAGCTTAGAAAATAAATTGGCTTTTGCCTCAGGTATTTCAATGTTTGGATGATTAGGTGGAG